TAGCAGTGTTGCACTGGAGTTTTTGAAGCATGTTTACAAATTACATGGGTTACCCAGGATAATAATTTCAGATCGAGATAAAATCTTCACCAGCCAATTCTGGGAGCAACTTTTCATCAGGTTTGGCACAAAATTGCATATGAGCACAGCATATCACCCCCAGTCTGATGGCCACATAGAGAGAGTCAACCAGTTTCTTGAGATCTATTTAAAGTGTTCTGTTCATGCCACCCCTGCAAAATGGTCCTCCTGGCTGTATTTGGCAAAATTTTGATATAACAGTTCTTATCATTCTACTTTGGGCAAAACCCCCTTTGAAGTAATCTATGGCTACAGCCCGAGTCATTTTGGCATCAGCTTGAATGATTGTCCCATCCCATATGTCAGTCAATGGCTTCAGCAAAGGAAATTGATGCAACAACTTCTGCAGCAGCACTTGAATCGTGCCCAGCAGCAGATGAAACACTTGGCAGATAAGAAAAGAAGTTACAGCCATATGTGCAGTCATTAGTGGTCGTCAGAGCTAATCACAAGTTATCCTTTCGACATTTTGGCCCCTTTCAAGTTCTTGCAAAAATTGGCACTGTGGCCTATGGCTTGCAATTACCAGCTTCTGCTCGGATCCATCCTATATTTCATGTTTCCCAACTGAAGGGCGCCAAGGGTTTTTCTCATCCGGTTCAGACTGAGTTGCCGACTGACTTCACTCGGTTTCAGATTCCCCAGCAATTCCTTAATTACAGAGTGACTAAAAAACATAATTCTGCTACTATTCAATTACTAACCCATTGGTCAGGGGGTGCAGTGGAGGACGCAACCTGGGAGGACATGCAGGATATACACTACAGGTTTCCACAGGCACAGGCTTGGGGGCAAGCCGGTTTTCAAGATTGAGGGCTTGTCAGGCCTACCTCGATGCTGCCAAGGGACTCCAAGAGCAAGAAGCCTGACGTCCGTGTACAAGATGGAGAAATCCACAAGGAAGCGGAGGTAGCTGATCGGGAGCGCGACGCCAAGATGATGGAAGGAGATGCTGATGAAGCAGAGAAGAATGGTGGCGCTGAGAAGAGGGTGCCGGATTCCTTGGCCCAAAAACCAGAAGGCCCAACTCACGTTTCGTCGGCGAGCAATGGACCAAGTGAAGCCCAGTAGCTTAGCTCCAGCTGGCATGTTGCTAGCGAGAGAGAGAGAGAGAGAGAAACTGCGTGATCTTGCTATAATATACTCCGTATAACAGAGTAGCGAGAAACACGGCGGTGATGAACTAATACGCGGAGGCGTAGCCGGCGCAGCTTGATCCTGTTGGATCGAGAGATTGCAAGGCGTATCGTTGGTTCCCAGTTAATACAAGAGAAAAATCGTTAGTGTTCCTAACATAGCAGTAACCTGACGATTTACCACTCGATATGTGCCACCAAGCTCGCCTCCCTGGCACAGAGTTTCCCTCACGCAGTCACGCATGCATCTTCGATAATCGAGACGGCTCATATACCTGAGAAATTGGTGACGCTGGCTCGTAGACGCCGCCGGTCGCCGGAGTTCGTCTCAGATTCACGGGGAGGAAGTCTGCAGCAAATGTGGAGAGGGGAGCATCTTGATTTACTGAGGCAGTTGGTGGGAAAAATAATACTCCCTCCGTTTCAAAATGTTTGACACCGTTGACTTTTTAACATATGTTTGACCGTTCGTCTTATTAAAAAAAATTATGAAATATGTAAAACTATATGTGTACATAAAAGTATATTTAATAATGAATCAAGTTATATGAAAAGAATAAATAATTACTTAAATTTTATGAATAAGATGAATGGTCAAACATTTTGACCATGGCCCATACATTTTGACCATGGCCCATATACTTAAATTTTATGAATAAAAAGTCAACGGTGTCAAACATTTTGAAACGGAGGGAGTATATGCTAGGGGAGCATCCGTGGCCCATGGGTTAACGGGTCTGGTGAAGCAGCCCGTAACCAAATGTGCCTCTACCAGGCCCGATTGCGCGCACAGATCTTGAAGCAGAATCTACTGCCAACAAAATCGACTGATGCAGGTGACCGTAAAATAGCAAAGCTGAAACAAATTTGCGTCCAATTGAAGGATGTTTGTGTCTTTGTATAGCACTGTATGGAAAATAAAATGGTTGAATTAAGTAGCATTCACGGCAAATTATCTGTTGTACACCTACCACTTGCATCAGAGTGTGTTCTACTACAAACTGAAGCTACAGCTGGTGTTGTGGTCAGAATAACATAAACTAAAATAAAACACTGGCTAATGTGCTAGTGTATTCAGATTTTGGTTTTCTGAATATCCAACCAACCCCTGTAACAAAGCAAACACCTTCCTAATACCCTACACCCAAAAAAATCCAGAAAACAATAGATCAAGAGTTTATCAGATTGCAGGAATCTGAACAGGACATGTAAATATCTATTCCAGATCCACCTTCCTTCATATTCTGCACAAGAAATTCAGATAAAAATTTTTAGAACATTGATGTTCAGATCTTTCTAGTTCCAGATTTCATATCAGTATAGGTAATGGCCCTTTCCCAAATCACCAAGAAAGACTTCTCCAGAAAATTATATCACTTTTCTGGACTCGATTTAGTCAAATTTACTTATCACTATAAAACAGAATTGTTATCTATTACTAGTTACCATCTACCAAAATTAGGACACCCCGTAGCTAGAATTTTCCTTCAACCTGACACATATAGCATTTTTAGAACACAAGATACATATAAATCTTTTCCGGAATAGGAACAAGTTAGTATAGCAAATCCAAATCAACATGATCCATCAAATACTATACATACACTAGGTCAATAAGTGAAGCATGGTAATTTCTGACATTGCTTAAAAAATATGTGGATTGGAATTTAAACAAAACTAATATTTATTTTCATGAGAACATGCATGTTTTCATATTTCAGATTTCTAAACATGCTCAGTGCTAACAAATAAATTATCATCTTTAACAAATGTAAAAAAACTATAGTATAAGACTAAAATAAGAACTTCAAATGCCAGCCTGACCAAATAATATAGATGAAATATGTCTGAATTAAGACTTTGTAGTACCTAACCAAAGGAAGATCAGCCAGACAAAAACTAATTCATATTTTAGAAGGTTACAAAACTAATAGAACTATTTTAGGAGGTTACAAAACTAATTAAGTTGAACATATTAGTGAACATTTTAGAATATATGAGCTAACAGTGTGGTGACAAAACTAAGTACTTTTAGCTTACAAAACAAAACAAAGCAAAATAAACAAAAGGATAAAATAATGCAGCTCCTAAATATTACACACAAAACGAACAAAAGTGTGCTTTTAGTACTCAAAAGACAAGAAGTTTGCAGCTAGACTATGACTAGGCCAGCAAGCAACCGTCGAGCTAACCTACAAAGCAACCATCGGGCAAAATACCAAAACTACAAATGGGACACACAACCTTCTCGTTGCAACTTTAAAAAAAACACAAAAATGTTGCATAACTACATCAATTAAATTTGGTGACCAAAACAAAGAGAATAGTGAAAGGAGAAAATTACAAACAATGCATTCTAATAAAACAGGGTACTATTAGTAGGCTTGCTAACAAATTACACAAAACTAAGTATAATTAGTAGGTTAATCAGTAGGAGGTACTGTCCATTTACACAAAACAAAGTACAATTGGTAGCAAACAAAACTGTCTTATTAGTATCTTCATTGCTAACAAAATTGACAAAACTAGGTACACTTCACCAACTACCTAAAAAGCCATAAATTAGAATTGACGACCATTCTTTAGAACTTCGTTTCTATATTATGATTAGTACAAAAGGAAAAATATAAGATAAAAATTCAGAGAAGATGTCAGGACCTATAAAATTTAGAGAAGCTGAAATGTGGGGTATATATTCTGCAAACCATGAGATGCAAGCCGTGCAAGCAATTGCAGATTGCAAGAAGGCAAATCATAAAAAAAATATATAATCATATAAAGATACAAAGACAAAACTAGTTAAGTAGTGTTTGTAGGAGAGACAAATATATCCATGTAAATTTACAAAATTAAATGCTATTAATCTCCATTGAACAAAACTGAACTGAAGTGAATTCAAGTGAAATGCTATTATGCTAAACAACCAAAACTGAAGATTATTTATTATTATGTTAAAAATTGAACAAAAGTAAGCCATCTTCAGAAGTAAACAAAACATACAGAACTAGCTTTATCTGTATGATCTAGCATACATATGCATGAAAAATCATCAAGAGAGCCAAGGACTACGGAGAAGCAGAGGGACTATGTATTCTTGCCGCGCTACATGCTGTGTGGAATCAAACAACAATAATACAATCTTTTTTCTGACAGTTACCCAAAAATAAACAAATCAGTGAACAAATTTTATACACTATCGAGTAGTGGTTGCCCCATGGATCATTCCCTCAATTTGATCCTCTAAACCTAGAGAGACTAATCCTTTCTCCTCTATCTTAATAACATTGGGTGACCTCCTTCGGTCATCCCGGCAAAAAGAGAGACTAATCCCCATGGCTAATCCTCTAAAACCAACCAGGCTAATCTCCAAAGGTAAAATTGCAAAACAAATTAGGTAGTGCTTTTGCTCTAACAAAAGAAATGTGAGATCAAGCTCTAATCACACAACCTCCCTATTTGCAAAACAAAATGGATATAAACCACTTTCGTGCAGTGGCTAGCTGAATCTAAGGTAGACATTCCTCCCCCATTCGAATAATATTTGCTCAAATCAATAAGAAGCAGAATCATATATAATTATTTTAAACTTGTAAAATGGAATTATATGATTTTTTTTAAAACAACTTTCATACATGATTTTTTTTGCAAAAAAGCACGCAGCTGCTGCCTAAAAGCGTGCTGATGCTGCTGAACAGCGAGCAGTAGCGATGTTTGAAACAGCCAAACGATCCTTTGTCCCCTGCTTACCTACGGAGAAATATATTTTGCAACACAGTTGCTCGATGATTTAACCATTTTTCATATTAGGTGTAAATGGATCCACAAAATGCCTCTAGTTGGTACTGCACTACAAGGAGTTCTGAAGTGTGACATTCAAGTTCATAGCGACGCAAGAAATAAATACATGAAAGTAAACATTTAGCACTTTGTAAACCACTAATTCAGAACACTCATCCCTGGTTCTTCCTCTTCCTGCTAGCTCCTACAAATGCTCATTCCTGGTTATTCCTCTTCCTGCAATATATTGCGGATTCTCATACAAATTAGAAATGATCAGAGCAGTACCACAGATGGTTATGGTATCAATGATAAAATGGATTTGTACAAAACATGAGTTGGATACGCTATGCAAATCTACAAAATCAATTCACCCATATCTTGAGTTATTTTGATAATGTTGGTGCTTACCAAGCACTACAGGAAACAGATATTACGATTATGATGCAGTATGAATATGTATCAATTATGCGGATACATAGATTGAAATAGCTACATAATTAAAACATGTGAACCAATGATCACTTCAGTATTTCCAAATACTTGTACTGGTAGTGATATGGTAGTGATCACTTTTAACTAGGAATTGTGCCGTCTATAGGGCTTCTGATTTATTCTCCATTTAGATTGAAGCCAATTTGAATATTGAATATCCATTAGCAAGAAAGGGGGTAGCATGTGAATCAGGGATTGAGCTTGGCTGCAGTACCATATATAGCTATGTGTATGCTTGTAAGAGCCACTATAATTAGCCCACGCACTGATGCTATAAGAATAACTGACATACTTCAATTCTACATGCTTAACTCCAGTAGACAATGCAAAGACACCAAACAAGGCTGGAATTCTCTTGTGGAGCATCAAAGTGGCGTCCTAGTCCTAACACTGACACCACCAATGTAGAAACAACCTAAATTGCTTAGAGTAATCATTTCAATAATCATCATTTCAACAGGACATAATCGCTTTTACCATCAAAACCAACAGCATTTCTAGACCACCGTCGCCCTACCTAGCATCAAAAGCGAGGCACTAGCTTAATTAAATTGCAGATGCACCCGGTAGGTGGACTTACTACCAAACTAAGAAAATGAATATGCAGCAGCAGGCGGAAATCCGTAGAAAGTAGTAACGCAGGTAATTAAGATGCATGTGTATACCATGTTAGATTGAATTGAAGTACTTGGAAAACTCAGAGGGGAGGAAGGACTGGGGATAGCTTGACTTTGCCCTGACCATGTCGGCATCCTCACCGGAAAGGTCCTCCTGCCCATTAACATATGGAATAACTGACAACACGGTCTTGCTGGCTAGGTCAATGGTCACAACCGACATCTTCCTGATCACGTGCTCATAGTCGCAGGTGAGGAAGTGCATGACATTCGGCATCTCCATGCTCACGGTAAGAAACAGGAGAACTTCATGAGGCACGAGCTCAGGGCCCTTGAAGGACCAAATCTCCTTGGACGTGATCGCAAAGTCTTTGCTCCACTCAATGGCCCCAACATCCAGCCCTAACGTCCTCAAAGTGTGGCAGGTGATGGTATAGCCCCGTCCTGGTTCTAGGGAGCCTAACAACTTGCTATCGAGCCGGTTGACATCAGCAAACTTGAGGGCGCCAGAGCCGTCGCACTCGGTGTGACAGACACACCACGGTACACCTGGGAGAAATGGCGGCGAGATCTACCGTTAGGGAAGCTGTCCAGAGGAAACCGGATGAAGGCGATTCCAGGCCTTTTCTGCAGTACGTCGCAGAAGAGCATGCCTCGGTCGTAGTCCACCCAGCAGAGGTAGTTTTGGAAGGCGATCACAGTGTCAGTGGTCCAGTAGAAGATGTCCCAGTACTCTTCGCCGCTGCCGTACACGATTGGCAGCTCCATGATATCCCACCGGCCGCCTCCATCTCCATCTTCACCTTTGGAGGATATGGCCGAGCGGAGCACGCACAGTCTGGCTTTGACATTAGCATTGATGTTTCTGAGGACCTGCAGCTCGGCGACGGCAAACTCTTCGCCTTGGCACAAGATGCCGACGGATCGAAACTCCAATGGATACCGCAGGTTGCCGTCGCCCTCAACATCAGATGGGGGGAAGCCGCCTTCTGGCTGGTAGGTACATGGGAGGGGTTCCCCCCCTTTTGGCTGGTAGGTACATGGGGGGAGGGCTTTGAGTAGCGGCGAGGAAACTGGGTCGTCGCCGGACGCGGTGAAGATGAAGTAGTCCTGCGGGCAAGCCGGAACAGGGCACTCGACGATGTAGCAGAAGCATACGAGAACGAGGTTGCGGTGGGTGGCCACGAGGTGGCATGCCACCATCTCCTCCGGATTCGGGCCCTGTGGCCACTGCACGTACAGGCGGGAGATCGCCGGAGGGTCGGCGATACGGAAGGCGATGGTAAAGGGGGTCTTGTGGGATCCGGAACCGGATGCCCTCAGTGTAGCCTTGGTGTCGTCGGGGAATGACTTGTCGTCGTCTCTGCGGAAGACAAATCGCTCCAGCATCACCCAGTTGGGGAAGGAGGCGGTGGCGGTGGCGGTGGCGGTGGGGAAGGAGGAGGAGGACATCGCCATGGATCGGTAGAGATCCTGAGATGGATTGGGGAATTAGGACAAGAAAAACGAGACCTACGCTGCGGGCTGCGGGGACGGATCGTGGGAGAGTTAATGTACAGGGGGCTCAGACTTTGCAGGGCCGGTTGGCCTGCTTTGATATTTCGGCCTCGAGGCCGCTAGTCTTCTGCTTCGGCCTATGACGGCCTCCTTAATTTTTACCGGAGGTCCCTGAACTTGTCACCGGGGAAAAAGTGTACCGGAGGTCCCTGAACTTGTCACCGAGATACGAAAACGTCCTCCAACCGCAATACGAGATATGGGGTCCCCTAACTATACAATACCGGTCACCCGAGGTCCCACGGCATGATTTCTCCCCGATTTGTCCGATGTGGCGACGGTTTTGTCCGCCGTGGCGCTTTGACCTCAGTCGTCGTCGCTGACTCAGGAGCCCGGTAGTTAGGATATAATGAAGGAAATGTTTGGCGCGGCTTGCTTCTCCCCCAAACACCGAAACCCTAGCAGGTAGCGAGCGGGCGGCGGCGGCGACGACTTGGCGAGTGGCGGTGTGGAGATGTCGAGCTCGATGAGCGACGGCTCGTCGTCTTCCCGTCAGTGGAAGTCTTCTCCCGTGCCTTACCGGGTTGGTCCTCTGGATTACCAACCCGCGGTGATGTGCCAATGCCGGTGCCCGGCGAAGGCGGCGAGGTGGCTCTCGTGGAGCACGGACAACCCTAGGTGCTGATACTACAAGTGTCAACATGCTAGGGTAAGTGAGGGCTTTTGGTTGATATGTTGTTGAGGTTGGATTTGGATAGTTTGGGGTTTGAATGTAGGGTTGTGGTTTCAGGTTGGGGGGTGTGATTTCTAGGCATGGTGTGACGGCCCGACGTCCAGTTTCATTAGGGAGCTATTGAATGACTTGCGGGACATGGTGAATTCGTTGAGGAGGTGGAAGGAATTGTTGCAGAAGGAAGTTGAAGACAGTCGGGCTAAGGGGGAGCGACAGAGGATAGAAATAGATTATGTGAGGGCTATGGTTGCTGTGAAGAAGGAAGAAATTAGAAGCTTGAAGGCTAGGAATCAAAAATTAGAGAAGGAGAAAAAAATCCTTGTAATTTGTATGATGTCATGTATTTTTATGCTGTTTGTGGTGTTAGTTGGGAAGGAATGAGACATGTTGATGTGTCTACATTCCTGAGTCAGCCTTTTGCCATGCTATCTCCAATGGAGATGACAAGTATGAGGTTAAGCATTACACACATAGGTTCACTGTGAACTTGGACAAGAAGGAGTGCTCCTGTAGATACTGGCATCTTTCAGGGTTACCTTGCCCTCATGCAATAGCTTGCATATATTTCAAGACCAATTCACTGGATGCATACATAGCTGAATGCTATTCAGTAGATGCATTCTAGAAGACATATGAGCATTGCCTACTGCCAGTTGAGGGCATGAACAGCTGCCCTGAAGATGACAGAGAGGCTTTGAAAGCTCCTGGCTATGTCAAAATGCCTGGAAGACCAAGGACAGAGACAAGAAGAGAGGCCAATGAACCTGCAAAACCAACAAAGGCATCTAGGATGGGCACTGTAATGAGATGCAAGAAATGCAAACAAGTTGGTCACAACAAAACCTCTTGTAATAGGCACCATGCAGTTGCAAGAGGTAGTACCAACACAGCCCCACAGCAAGATAACAACTTGGTGCTATCTGTGGAGATTATGGATACCCCATACCCACATGGCGTGGATATTCGATTAGGTATGGGGGTACCATATACAGATAGAATATATCTAGTAAAGGACTCGATTGTTATGTTAACTTGTGTATCAAGGAAATACCCGATAGTCCTGATCGGTTACGATTATAATTTATCTTTACATGCCTAGTCCGTTAGGAACATGGGTTGTATCTTGTAATTCCGGCTCCTCCCCCTATATAAGGAGGGGTCCGGGAGCCTCTAGAGGCATAACTTTTCTCTCTGATCATACGATCAATAATACACTCGGCGAATCAATCCCCGGACAGGAGTAGGGTATTACTTTTCATCTAGAAGGTATGAACCTGTATAAATCTTGTGTCTTCTAACCCATCCACTTTTCTAGCTTGATTGCCACCCCCTTTTAATATTGCCAAAATATTGTTTCGACACTATCAAACACTCCATAGAGTTTTGTGTAGAGCAAAAAAAAGGAAGGCACCAGCCACTGCTACAACAAGTTCTGTTCATAGTTATTAAGACCAGACTGGTGATTGAACCGTTAAGGCACTCGGTTCACTGGTTTATTAGTTGGACCGGTCAAACCGCCGGTTAAAAACGGTTCAAATAGATGTGAGTTACATGTGTTTCACAGCTTGTGGCATAGCCTGGTGGTTGAGGCTCTCGCGGAAACCAGGAGGTTTTGAGTTCGACTCACAGATTCTGCACCTTTTTCCCTATTTTCTGTGACTCCACGTGACGCGTCATATTACTAGAAATATAATTCCCAGCAATGGCGCAGAAATACAAGCGCACGGATATATGGGAAGATCATGTAGAGAGAACTGGACTAATAATTTATACATTGCTTGTGATAATCATATTCTAAGTAGGGGTTAAGATAATCCAAGGGTAGAGTGGCACACAACCTTTTTCCCTATTTTCTATCACATTACTAGAAATATAATTCCCAGCAATGGATATACCATTGTAGCATTTCACCTGAGAGTAGAACCCCCTATTTTCTATCACATTACTAGAAATATAATTCCCAGCAATGGATATACCATTGTAGCATTTCACCTGAGAGTAGAACCCAGGGAATTACCAGGGAACCGGGGCTAAATATGAATTACCAAGGAACCGGGGCTAAATATGGAGGCTTACATCTTCCCGGTCGGTCACCCATCTCAAAATTGCTCTAGGCCAAGCATGCTTAACCTCAGAGTTCTTTCGAGATCGGTTTCCGGAAAAGAAGTTGTAACTTGTTGATATGAGTATTCTATTAATCCTATTAAGCCCTAGGCTGGAATGTCACATCCTCACCCCCTCAAGAGAGATCGACGCCCCCATCGATCAACCCTAGGCCAAGAACGTCCCCTCGCCCCCGTCGATCAACCCCAGGCCAGGAACGTCCCCTCTTAGCCACGTCCATGTGTCTAGTGCCAGCGCATGTGCCATGCTGTGTAACCACTCCCGATCTACACCAGCCATACACATGCGCCCGTGAAACCGCGAGAGTCAGCTCTGATACCACGTCCTGCCTCTCCAAGGCCAGGCCCGCTTACATCTGGCAGCTTTTATAGGTCATAGACTGCCCTCAGGCCCGCTTACATCTGGCAGCTTTTATAGGTCACAGACTGCCCTCACAGACCAACACAAGTCTTTCCTGCACACTTTGTCCTCACTCGTGCGCACCCAGGAAATGGTCACCCATCCTGAAATTGCTCCAGGACAAGCACGCTTAACCTCAGTGTTCTTTCGAGATCGATTTCCGGAAAAGAAGTTGCAACTTGTTGATATGAGTATTCTATTAATCCTATTAAGCCCTAGGCCGGGATGTCACATCCTCACCCCGGGATGTCACATGGTGCCCCACGAATACGTAACTGCCCAGGATGTTGATGTTCAGTTACGCATCAAATGATATAAAAGCATAAACTTCGATTATACAATACTTAAGTCACTTAGTTCATAACACAACATAAATACAAACCATTATATATATGGCTTATAAAGCCTTATTTCTACAAACAGATAAACTGCTAGACTCCACCACAGGAACTGCCTGAGCGTAGGATGACCTAGAAACCATAGCTGTCCCACTCTAACGGATCAACAGGTTCTCCACAAGCATCTTCCTCCTCATGATCTGAACCCATTTATGAGTACAAAAGGTACTCAGCAAGACATGCTTATGATAATAAATACAATAATTGCAATATAAAACATGCAGTATCGAGAGCTGGAAGGTTTAAACCCTAACCTTAACAGTTATTTCATATAGCCTAACATAATAAACATTTGATCTAAACAACACTATTGAACATTTAATTTAAACAATAATAACGAGCATAACAATATAAATGTTACTTATAAATAACTTGAATAGAACATTAAACAATAAATAAGTTAACCATATTAATTAATAGCCATTTAGTTTAACTTGTGCCCATAATCTGGAATCACCCATAGACACATCTCCATTAACCGGGAGCACGGTGTATTCGAATACTCAACGACTCTGCAGCGTCTGCCCAGCTTTACCCACACGATACCCACAACTGGCCGGGCTGAAAAGTAACGAGGTGTAATATTGCTCCATATATCTCTCCCTTCTGCCTAGTAAGTTAAAGGATGCTCGGGATGTTGCTCGGAGTGATCCGGTCCGAGGTGTGTGCCAACCTACCTCCGCATCCACTTACCATTGTTCGTTACTCGATGGGCAGCCCAGAACTTCATGGGCCAATAGGGCAGTTCTGAACTCTCGGGGCCCATCGAGCCCACATATATAAATCATATAAACATGAACCATGTCATTTTGCTTCACACACTTGAAAGCTAATGGCCAGTACACCGAAAGGCCTGCAGAAGTTCAATCAATTGGAGCAATATATGGGGCCAGGTTCGACAAATCGATTGTGTGGATGGGCGAAACTATGTCATTCTTATTGACACAAGGGGGTTAATTATTATACCAATTTTAAATAAGAAATAACCATAAATATATCCATATATCCATCACGACCATAAACAGGTCCATAAAACCAAACACATGAACTCTATCATGTGTACCACCCGCTCACATGCGGTGTCAACAATTCTTAGCATATAGCCATAAATAGTTCCATAAGCATGTTTTCATAAGCAATAATAATATCCATATTAAATCAATAGCATGTTAAATAATTAACAGTTTGTTTAAGTGTTTCTCAAATCTTGTCCTAAGCTTATTTGACTCTAAGGCTCATTAAGGTATTTATAACAACAACAGAAAATATAATGCAATAATAGCAATATAATTAACTTAAAAGAATTCGTGCAGTCTATCGTACTCCAAAGGGCAAGTACGCTACTAAAATAACTCTCTATCTACTGG